CATGTACAGTACAGTACATCATGCTAAATTGGACAGTTTGGATATTTATCACAGGTGTCCAACTTAGCATGGTTTTACTGTATTATTATTTTAAAATATCAAACAGACAACCATTTTTCTTGGAACTTTGAAACTTCTAATAAAGTTCCAATTTTCCAAAAAATAGAATGCAAGGTACAGTACATTATATTAAATGTAGACCTGAAGTTGGACTGTAAATCAGTCTAAAAATGTTTGTCTAAGCATTAAATATTGATGGAAAGAAAAAGTTGTCTGTCTGATATTTTTTACTGTTTTCAGTTGAGTTTTCCTTTATTATTATTATAGGTATTTGACAAACAAGTAACATTAAAAATATAAATTCTGGTGTTAAACCTATACAAATATGAAGAAATAACAACATTAGTTTATATACTAAAAAATAGGAATTTTGTTGTGAATGGATTTAAATCCTATATCATTTGTAATATGCTGAATATTAATATGAAATTAATTTGGGAATTTAATATATGCTTACAAAATACCCATAATGATTCCAAATATGGAATAAGGTTCATTGATCACTTGCATTTTTTAATCTTTGATATTTATTATAAAAATGTGATTTTTGAGTGATTGATTTTGGAAAATAATCCATTATTTTGCCAGTTATTGATTATAACATAAATTATGTAGTAAACTTTGTAATATATTGTCTTGTGACATTTCCTTTTGTTGTGTAATAAATAAATTTTTAATTAGTTGCAACATTGAAAAATTTTCTCTCTGACTTGTTGGAAATATCTGAGAAATTTGTATTAAAATTATATTTTACAGAAATTTTGTAGCCATATTAAATGTTTTAAGTCTATATTAGGTGAGAATAGAATATTTAATCAATGGAATGAATGTTCATAGAAAAAATAATTGGTCAGTTTTCACTTTATTTTGTAGTTATAATACAATCAATTATAGTAATTATTCTATATATTAATGTGTTACTAGGTCTCGAATTTTGTTATGGCATTTCAATGTTACAAATATCTTGTTCAAAATAAAATATTTGTATTACTGATAGGCTTTGATAAAATTTCCAACATTAATTTATTAAATGAGCCATTGATTTTTGAAAATGAGGCAAGTCTATTTTGCTGTATATTTCCCAGGATTATTACAAACTAATACAAAAATGTCGCAAAAATAATGCATTTTTAGTACATGAAATGAAAAGTAAAGACTTCTGTTCAACCAAACCTCTGGAGAAAGCAATTTTGAAAAGAACAAAAAGTACTGATGAGGAAACTGGCAATTGGTTGAATATTTTCTGGATAAGATTTTCAAGAAAAGTGCCATATAAATTATTTTATAAAACATTGATGGGAAAAGATTTGCAATTTAAAACTCTTGATTTATCACCAAAATGTGGTAGGCCAAGTAGTTCTGGAAAAATAGTATTAGCATCTTTAAATGCAAAAACTAGGCCTATTACTATAAAGATATGATGGATTTATTACCCTATGTACCACCCATTCATCATGAATACCTTAAAAATCTGCATCATCTAAACTAAGAAATATAATTATATGCATGCATCTTATTACTTAATATTTTTTCATGTGTTATCCACTTTTTCCTGTAAAATTAAATTTATTTCTTGTTTTATTGTAGCTTTTTGAAAGAAGTATGAAATGTTGAAATAAAATAAATAAGTAAATAAATAAAATATTAATCTTTTTTGTTTTTATAATTATATTCCATTCAAAGAAAATTAACATTTTCAACAAATCATTGCTTTTGAAAGTGAGGCAAGTCAATTTGCGCATACCAAAACCGTGATTTTTCCACCTAACATTGATAACCATTATTACTTATTAAATTTATATGAAACTAGCTTACCTGTCGCGCATTGCTGCGATCTCAGAAGAAAGGAAATTTAAGCAAACTCGTCATGACAAAATTCAATTTACATTTTATAATTTTTATTAAAATTTATTATTATTACATTATTATTTCGAGTCAATATTAAAATTTGGAAAAGGGGGGATACCTAGATCGGTAAAATACGCGAATTTCCTCCTACAACTTCGGTTGTTGTTCGGGGTACAGTTGAGGTTTTAACGAAGTTCGAGCGAATACATAATTAGCAAAAAAGAAAGTTGAAATAAAGTGATTAAACAAAAATTATTACAAATATCGTAAATAACAGTTCACAAATGCATATATAGAGATATTTTTTGAAGGGGGGAAATGGTCTTCACAATTTGAAATCGATCGAACACACTATGCTTGAATACTCATGTAGACGTGTGCCATCTATCGTAGGATAAATGTACTATGCCAAAAACCTTCGCGGGAGTGTATTAAAAAACTTTCCGAAGTTTTATGGCAATCATACTATGCCACAAACCTTCGCTGGAGTATATTAAACAACTTCCCAAAGTTTCACGGCAATCGGATAAACGGTGTGTTAATGCATGAAGGACACACACACACACACACACACACATTCATTTTTATATATATAGATAAGACCACAAAAAATATAAAATAAGTCTATCACTGTTTACAAATATTTTTAAACCCATTCAAATGCAAACCATTAAATATCTAGCAATAACATAAAATGGACTTGCCCCACTTTCAAAGTCAATGGCTCAAATTTTAAAAGTACAAATTCCTATGTCAATTTCTAATGGTAAAAAATATATATATAGTCTACTATAAATGAAACACTTTTCTGTGTTGTTTTTATTTATTAACAACTAAATTATGTTCATGTCTGATTTATATTATGTTTATAAAATCATATCACCATTTAATGTATTTAATAAATATATAAAACTTACATATAAAGTTTGGAAAACATTGATAAGATGAAAGAGGGAATTACAATCCATTATTTAAAAATATCATTAGATATTAAGTTTTCATAAACCACAGTTTTAATAATAAAAGTATATAAATATTGAAGACATAACATGTACTGCATACTTTTGTTTAAGACTGTAAAAAAAAAAACAGCCAATCACAGTAGAAATTAATTAAACTGCTATAGAAGAAAAGCTACTTTTTTGGTTTATGATGATGTAATTGTCAAATTCCTCGATATGCTGATTATTAAATTCTTAATTCAGAATAGTTAAAATGAATAAATAATTATTGATTAACTGAAAGTGCTATTGAATATTTTTTGATAGCTATAAAGGTATATAGCCTGTCATGGTGATAAACATGTAAGGGACATGATTGGTTGATTTGAACCGTTAACAAACTCTGCTGAGGAGAGTTTGTTGAGAAACATCCATTAGATTTTGAATTTGTAGCGCATGCGTCTCGAAGGAGAGACAGTTGGTGAAGGATCATGCCATGTGGTGGACCTGGGATAGAGCTATGACTAGCATAGCTGCTGATTGGTTGACTGACAACTGTCAACAACTATTTAAGATTGATATGAAAGTGGAAAATTCAAGTTTCAAGTTGGCATCAGAGTTTGGAACTTCAAGTTTGGATCAAAGTCTGGATTCGTCCCGCTAGTCAAAGAAAGTGCTACAGCTAGACAACTAGTCATCGTAAGGTGTTGGAACTATTTAAGAACTATTGGAACTTAGTGTGTTATTGGCACACCAAACTGTCGCCAATTGTGAAATGGTTGAAATTCTGAATTTTACTTAGCTATACTTGTCATAGAAGAGTGACTGTATCACACCTAAAATATTGAATTTTATGCTTAATTGGTGTTAATATAAATTAAATAATTAAATTTCTTGTATTTTGGAAAAAGATTTATAGATTAAATAATTTAAATCAATGGCATAATCTATAATGTAAATATATTTGCATACAATAAAATATATTTTTTAACATCATAAAACATAAAAAATGAGTTTTTAAAATAATTGGTAAACAGTTATTAATTAAGTTACTGCAAGATTTTTTTTTTTACAAACTTTTAATTTATAAGATATAAATAAGAATTATTATTTCTATACAGATAATTTAAATTTTTAAAGTAATACAGTCAAACCTTGGTTTACAAACAATTTTGAACTCATAATTGCACCATAGTTGCCATATGATAATTTGGTTGCCAAACAAACTACTAAGCAAGAGCCAGTCACAGATTAGAGAAACACAGGTATCAACTCCCTGTACTTCCAATGTTAAAGAAAGTTGACAGCCCAACCAATCAATGACAGGACTACTGGTTCAGCATTTAATGGTGGTGAGATTGCCTTGTATCATTAGATGTCACGACATGAATCATCAATAAAGTTGCTATTTAAATTAAATTTCAATGTGCATGCAGGAAAGATAATACTAATGTTTTTCAGTACATGCCACAGTTAAATCTAAATCAAATTAATTAATATAAGCCATGTTAATTGACATTCACATAATATAAATGGCATCCAAGAATTTGTTTAGAGGTGCTTAAGTCAAATTAAATAACAAAATTTACTAGCTCTTTAAACTCAAAATTAGCACAAATCTGCTTAATCCATTCAAAATGAAATCAGCCAATGGAAAAGTTGTTTGACTGGTTTTACTACACAAGTTCCACTTGTAGCCTGAGGGATAAAATCAATTTGGGTTTGATTGTTTAGGTGTTCATTGGATGTTTCTATATACTCATCAGGCTTTGTGATGTTTGTAATATCAATTTGATCTCAAGATACATAGAAAAAAGAAATTTTTTGAGCTTAAAAAGTTAAATGTTAAATATTAGTATTATAATATATATTATTACATTACATTTGTAGGCATTTTTTGCATGAAATACAACTAAAAAGGTAAAAGAAACTTTATTTTATGGGTTAGGAACAGATTAATTCATTTTATATTCTCTCTTATGGGAAAATTTATTTCAGTTTTAGAACAAATCAGTTTTTGAACAACTTTTAGGAATGAATTATGTTTGAAAACCAAGGTTTGACTGTATTTTATATTGTAATTTTAAGGAAAAGGTTACCAAATAAAATTATTAATCTTATAAAGTATAATTTGTATATTTGTAATTTCAGAGATGGTGATACAATTGGAACAGTCAAAGATTCAGTAGATTTTATTCTTTTGAATTTTGCTGAAATGAATAAATTATGGGTAAGAATGCAGCATCAAGGTCATTCTAGAGATAGAGATAAGCGAGAGAGAGAAAGACAAGAATTAAGGTTGTTAGTTGGGACAAATTTGGTTCGTTTGTCACAGTTGGAGTGTGTAGACATGGAAAGATACAAGAAGGTGAATACAATTTTTTCCATTATTCTATATTCTATTATTAAAGTTCTTCTAAAATAAAAGTAGAGCTGTCGTAGATACTAGTATAATTGACTTAGAGATGATGATATAAGATAGATAGAAAAGTATGAGGTTGGGCAGTAATCTATGATAATTTAAAAAAACAATAGCTGATGATTGTCAGTTAGTATTTTGTGTAACAGGGTATTTTATATTTATATTCAGTTTATTTAATGTTGTTGTTTATTTTTAAAATGAGAAAGATTTGTTAAATTTACATTGCTTTTGCCTAGAGAAAAGTATAAGGTTGCATCAGGTTTTAATGCAATTCCTGTTTTTATGTGAATTTCACAATCTATTTAAATTTTTATTTAAACAATGCCAAAAGGAACCCACTTATTAAATGGATTTCTTTTGGCACTGATACACATAAGGGCAAATTCTGGCCATTCTGCTCCAATGATTTCAGAGTTTCTAAATTTCTAAGAAATGTACTCATTCAAAAATGTACAATTTTCTGTTAGATCCAGATAGCTATGGAATGAAAAAATAATTGGGAAGACTAAAATCATTAATGCCCTAGCAAATGTTACATAATAATTATAAAGTATTTTTGTCAAAGCATTAAGACATGTTGGAAGATAATTTGTTGCTAAATATTTTGCTTATTACATGGGGGGATTGGATTTTCTAGAAAGATAATACACTAGTTCACAATTCATTGAAGCTTTGTTTGCAGCTAATGATGTAAAAGCCCTTGGAAGTTGTGTCTTAGTACTGATCCTATAGGAACCCTATGGAAAAACTGATGTATTTCAATTTCCATCTGTTGAAGAGAAAACTGCATATTGCTCACTGCTGTTGCAACACAAATTGTGTAGCAAGAAGTGTGTTTTAACTTTACAGAATATTCAGTAAGTCAATAGATTGATTAAACTTATTTGAGAAAAATACTTATAATTGAATTTACTGGTTATTGAACTTCCACCAGTTAATTATTTATGGCTTTAGAAAGAAGGAATGAGAAAGCAATTTCCTAAGAAAAAGCAAATGCAAATTTGAGAAATTTATTTTATTTAGAAACAATAAGATTAAATAATGAACTTAAATGTACAAAACAGTCTCATATAATATATTAATATTTGGTAATCTGTAGAGAAACGTAGTGTAAAGGAGGGGAAGTTGGATGGGAAAAATACATATTTTTCAAGTGAAATGTTTTAAATACAAATAGCATTAAATAATAATATTCAGATGGTACTTCAAGAAATTTAGGGTACTAGTCTAGTCTAGTCCCCCTACTCTATTCTTGGCACACCACTGATTGTTGCCTTGCCTTGCACATTTTCCACCATTTTATAATCTGTAGGTTTGATCCAAGCTTAAAGATAAATTTAAATTATACTAATTGAATGCTCTTATTACTGTAATAAAAATTAATGTAGTTATATTTATAATATGAAATTTTTTTAGGTTGTTCTTCCTGGCATTTTGGAACAAGCAGTGAGTTGTCGTGATGCTATAGCACAAGAATATCTTATGGAATGTATTATACAAGTTTTTCCTGATGAATTTCATCTTCAAACTTTAAATAGTTTTCTGAAGGCTTGTGCTGAATTGCATCAACATGTAAATGTTAAAAATATCATTATAGCTCTTATTGATAGGTAAGAGATTTATACAATTTACCACCACAATCTTTTCCGGAATACGAATAGAGTTGATGTTCATTAGTCTATATATATGTAAAGGAAAATAGTTTGTGTTCTCTATGAAGTAGAACATAAAATAGAAAATTATAAGATATGTTTAAACTGTTATAATATATTTGAAATTTCTGACATTTTTACAAGAAGGTTGGGATTATAAAATATAAAAAAACTTTGTGAAGTTTCTTAATGATTGAATTTTTCCTCCCTTTTCCTGCAAAAATTCAGACATTACACATCAAATAATTTTTGTTTGCTTAACTATGGTGACAGAGTGATACATATTTGGGATCCACCACACCACCTCCATTCTTATTCTGGGAAATATTTTAGTTCAAATTAATTTTTTTTGCAAATTTATTTCTCTCATTAGGTTAGCTGTTTTTGCCACACGTGAAGATGGCAGTGGAATACCTCAAGAAATTAAATTGTTTGATATATTTTCTGAACAAGTAGCACAAATTATTCAGGTGCGTAGAATTCAAATGTTTAAATATCATCTGTACAGTCTAATATATTTAGTGTTTTCTTCTGGTTATGTAGCTTCTAACAAACATGCTAAGCTATGAAGATAGCTTCTATAAGTCTTGAACTTCAAATAGTTTTTGTTTGATTAATTAACATAAAAATTAATAACATTTTAAAGTAATTTTGTTTTTAATAAAATTAATGATTTTGTAGAAATTTTATTTGTTTTGTTACTGTTCCTTTTTCCTGTAACAGGAAATAAAAATTTAGCTATTTTTAAGATTTCCCTTATTTGCAAAATTGTTAACAGTTTTTATCATTACTTACTTAAGAAGCAATGAGGATGAGTGATAAATTATTAAATTTTCAGTGTAAAATTTGTATCTATGTAAATTATTATTATTTTTGTCAACATTATATGTATGAGATGCTGTATCACAGATCTTCTATTAATAATTTTTCTTTAAGTTGTCTTTATTTGTTGGATTTTTATGAAGTTTTTATTACTGACTTTTATTAATACATGTTCTATTAGGTTAAAATAGATTGCTATTAGAAAAAATTGACTTGATTTTTATGACTGAAATATTAAATCTATATATGTACAGTACAGTAAGACTCCACTTAACTTGGGGGATGCGTTCCTAGATGATAAAGCTTAGTGCTAAACAAAACAGCATTAAACGAGGTCATTTTAACATAGAGTAAATAGGGATAGGGGAACACACAACTGAAAATAAAAAAATTTTACTTTAATTTTAAGTTATTTTTATATTAATTTGTATAATAATATATGTTAAATAACACA